AATTTAAGTGAATAAAAAAAACAAAATGAATAACTGAATCAATCGTTCTCTTTCCTTTTTTTTTCGTTACAGAAGATTTGCGTCGATGATTTTTGTATGTATGTATATACATATTTCACACTGATAAATCATCCTCGTTTTTCTGTCTTGTCCTTTCTATGTACTTCTTATGCTTCAATCATCGAATACCTTTCTGTCTGCATATCTAATGAAAGAGTGTCTATGAGCTGTAAGAAGAAAAAAAGAGTAACATATAGAAAAGAACAGAAATGTTATATATATACTAACATTGACAAGCAATCGTTTTTAAAAAATGGTGCAAATAGTAAATGAGACAAATCTATACTTCAAGTTTTTCTCTCTCTCTCTCACTCACTCTTGTCGTGTCATTTCGCCTATAATGAATGATTCTTATTCAAATTTTTTTTTTTTGCCTTTCGTTTTTTTTTCTTGTTGTCTATTGCCTATGTAAGTTACTACATATTTGGTTTGTAATATTACTATTATTATTCATATGGGCAAAGAAAGAAAGAATAACACATTGATTTTCCCATTGGGAATTATATAACTATAAATGCAAAGTCATTAAAAAAAGAGACAAGAATATACGAATTCTTTTTTTTTGTTCTCTTCTTTTCTGTTTTTCTTTAACTGCCAACAGTATAAGTAGAAAGATATGTACTAACAACATATAAAACAATCTTGTTATTCTCTATCACGTCAAATTGCAATGATATTATATCTTTCTCTGTTAACTGCTCAAAATGTCATTCTCTTGTTGATGAAAATCTACATATATATATTGTAAAAGAATGTATATACCATATATATATATGAATAAGGAAAAAAAATACAAAGACAAAAACGTTACATATGGGTTTTGTCTATCATTAATAACATGTGCTACGTGGGTGAAAAATTTTTTTCTAAAGTAAATAAATAACAAAGGTATCTGTATGAAAAAAATTTTTTATCCTTATTATTGTATATTCAAATGACCTATATACTTACTTGATTTACCAGGTAATATTAGATCGATATGTTCTTTTATCGAGTTTTGTATACAAACAAAATATAAGAAAAAAACAGAAAGAAGACTAATCAACGATTTTTATTCGTTTAGATAGCTTATTTGATATATAGAAAATGAATATGAAATATGTTCCTATTAGAATACACCATCAATATATACACTAATGAAGGTAGAAAATGACTATGTATGTGCCTTTGCTTTTCTCCGCTATTCTTTTTCAAAAACCAATCAATCAAAGATAAATAACAAGATGTTTACTATCAAGTAAACCGAAACGGGCCAAGGTATATGCATTCGTACAAATAGAGGGAAGAACGAATAAAGGTAATACATAGTTTATTTCAACAACAAATAATTTTACAGAAAAAAAAATAAGAGAAATTCTATACATATATATTTATCTGACAATTCTATTGACGTATTTTACTTTTAATAAGATCAATTTGATTCTTTTCAACATAATCTAATAAACTATCTAAATATATTTGACTATTTTTATTTGTTCGATTTCCTGGCCATGTTTCAAGAGTAAAATCTGGACCATAATATGAAAAATAATCATGCTCGGGTATATCATTATCAAGTTTTTCATTTAAACATAAAGCGATTATTGATGTCCATAATCGAGCAGTATCAGCTATGTGATAACCTCCACCACCTAATAAAAGTATTGGCTTATTTACATTAATTATTTGTTCAATACAGTTAAGAATAGATTTTGTTGTTAAATTAAATGATTTCATAGGATCACCATATAATGTATCAGCGCCACATTGTACAACGAATACTTCTGGTTGAAATGATGAATTAATTTTTGGTAAAAGACGAGAAAATAATGAAATATATTGATTATCATCAATACCGTGATGAAATGGAATATTTATATTAAAACCACGTCCCCATGTTTCACCAATTTCATCAAGTCCACCAGAATTAATTGGAAAAAATCCAAGTTCATATTTATGTAAAGAAACAGTTAATACTTTTGATGAACAATAAAATGCTTCTTGAACACCTACAATATACAAATAGAAATAAAAATACGCAAGCAAACAATTACTCATTATCAGTAAATATTGAAATTAAGAATACGATAGGATATATGTATATATATATATAATTCAACAACGAAAAATAAAAGGAGAACATAAAAATATATCCTGATGAAAATCGAAGTTATATATTAAAAATGTCCTTCATACTTTTTTATGAATATGAATTAGTATGAAGTATATATACATATTTTTTTTTATCGTTATCAATATCGATTGAATTTTTTTCTATAGGACTCAAATGTCGTTATAATACTTAAATACGATAATATTGACATATGTGATTACAATTCAAAATAAAGAGATTTCAAATGCTCTGGATATTCTTACCATCACCATGATGTAAATCTAAATCAATATAACAAATTCGATCAAATTTTTTACGAAGTTCATTTATAGCCATAACAATATCATTAATATAACAAAAGCCAGATGCTTGAGAACGTTCTAAATTTTATTGACATCCAATATTGATATTACATATTATAAAAACTTACTTGCATGATGCCATCCGCCAAAAAAATTTATTGCAATACTATTATTACTATTCGAACGATTTAAATATTTCGCAGCTGTTATTGATGCACCTCCGATCAATTGACCTGAAAATTTATATTAATTTATTTGAATAATAAATGAGAAAAAAATCACGAACAATATAAAGGTAATGCTTCAAATGGTGGACATTCATATCCTATTTTATAAAAATCCATTTGTTCCTTATATGATTCATTATGATCAAGATCAATATTTGCAATAAAATTTAGAAATTCTAAATAATCTTGATCATGTGCTAATGCAAGTTCATTATTCGTTGCTAATTGTGGTTGAATAAACTGTAAATGACTATGTTTATCAAGTTCATAGGCTTGAATAAGTGCATCAACAAGATATGAACGATGACGAATTTTTTCAATATTATCAAGAACTTTATGTAATTCAGATGATGTTATATAAATAATATCACGCATATCTTAAAAAAATAACCAATAAATAACAAGAGTAAAAATAAAAATAAAAATGAATGTTAACAAATAAAAAGAAGAAGAAGAAGAAGATTTTCGAGATGTTTTTAATAGTTCAGTTATATGTTCATTTAATTTCTTAGCAAATGGTTTGAATGAAAATTTTTTATTAACATGTCGTTGACCTTCTTCACCCATTTGTTTGGATAAATTTTTATTATCAACAAATTCTTTCATTCGTTTAGCAAATGTTGCAATTAATGGATCATCACATAAATAACCTGTTTTACCATCAACTACTGTTTCTAAAGGACCACCTGTTGCTGTTGCTATAACTGGTCGTCCAGCTTGCATAGCTTCGAGTGGAACAATACCAAAATGTTCAAAACGTGGTGTATATAATATACAATGAGCTTTCGATAAATATTCACGTTTTTCTTCATCAGAAAATGATCGAACAAATGTTATTAATGATGAATCAAGTTTTAAATCAATTACTAATTGTTGAAGTTCATTATAATATTCAACATTCTCACGTAAACGTTCATCATAACCACCAATAATATATAAATGAATTTTTTTCGAATTTGAACCAAGTAATTTACGAAGATTTGCAAATGATAGAAGTGCAAGTGTTAATTCTTTTTTTCGTTCAAAACGATTTATGGAAAGAAAATTTATCACTGAATCATTCTCATTAAATGATGATATTGGTGAAGCTTGATCAGGTATTGTTGGATAAAGAATATCTACTGGAGTTGTTGATGAAATATATTTTTCAAATATTGATTGAGTATATTCACTATTCACTAGAATACGATCAGCAAGACATGTTGTATAGACCTAAATTAAATCAAGGATATTTAGTTTTAGAGTAAATACTCTATTGATGTTCTATGAAGCATTGATATTGATTAGCCTTGACTATAATGTATATACAGAACAATAGAACATATGTTATATGTTTTTATTAGATGAGATTATATCAGTGTCTGAAGATTTTTGAGATATTTTTCTTAGAGGACAAATGAGATTTAATGTTTATGTATCTGTCTTAACTATATCAATAAAAGACTCGATCAGATATAAGAATTCAAGTTTCAGTCAATCTAGAAATAATAATCAATATATATTCATGCTAATATTTTTGTGTTATTGATAATAAATCAATGTATATTTTGATAGAATTGATATGCCTATGATATCATTTAGTAGTAAAAAGGAAATTGCAAGTATTTATTTTGTAGTTTGTTTCGTCATTCTAAACTCTGTAATGTTTTATTTCAGAAGAAATTGAAGTAGAATTTAGATTCATTGATTATTCCTATTACATAAATAGATGGTATGAATACTTTTAAGTACTACTATTGATTTTTATACGATAGAAATTGCTCTACAGACCGTATTTTTTTCTTCCTTTAAATTGGCGAAATTTAATGGAAGGAAAAATCAAAAAAGAGTAATGCAACCAATCGTTATAATACGATTAGTGAAGAAATATAAAGAAAAAGACGCTATTGTATTACACATAGATTCAATGAAGCATGTAAAGTAATTACTAAGATCTCATTTCATCTCTAATTGAAAGCATAAAAATTCTTTCAAAATCGATTACAATTCAATCGATCGTTTTTTTTTAACATTTAAAAAATCATAACTAACTTCAAATGTATCAATTGGCCATCGATATAATTTCTTTGCTAATGATTCTCGTTTTGTTAATAAATGATCGGGATAATGACAATAAAATAAAACTGGTAATTGAGATCGTTTTAAAACCGGTATACAAGCACTTATTTGATCACATAAAAATAAATCATATTGTTTTCCTTTTGTTTGATAAACAACATATATTGCAAGAAGAATAAATCTTATATAAGCACATAAAGCATGAAATTTTCCAAATATATGTCTCGGAAACCATGAACATGCAACAAAAACATTCAATTGTCCATTACGTGTTTCATCAAAACATCGTTTTTTATCATGAAAATTTGTATAAACATCAACCTTATGTCCAGAAGATTTCAACGCTAATGCTATATCAACAATTAAACGTTCTGCTCCACCAATACCTAAATCCGGATGAAGTATTGCAATACTTGACATATCTAAAATCTGATTATTACGGATTAAATTATTATTATTATTTTTTGTCTTAATCAGTAAAATGTTTATTAAATTTAATATTTACTGAGAAATATGAATTACTTGTGTGAAAAGAAAAAAAGAAGAAAAAAAAAGATATATATGTGTATTGTTTATAATACTGAAGATAGAGGGGAGGTAAAAAGAGAAATTTTTTTTTTATGACAAATTAATAAGGGAAAGGCCGTTGCATGTGAGAAAACTGTACAAATAAATAAAATCACGTTGCGGTTAAACAAACAACAAAAATTGGTAGAAAAATACAACAAATACATATACAATAAAAGGAAACTGATTGAAAAAAACAAAATTTATCTAATGTATTCATTAGGGAAAAAAAACAACAAAAAATAAGATCTGCCTAAAAAAATGCATTGTAATAATACAATCAAAATTAGATCAGCAAAATAGCCCATCACCATCAGTTAACTAAATAAAAAAAAATTATTTTCATTAATAAAAATTGCTTATTTTTTAATACCCCATACGATTAGAATAGAATTAATATTTTTATTAAGAAGTATTACCATTAACATTGACCTTTGAACACACAAAACAACATTAAATACATAAAGCATAAATTATAGTATTAAATAATATATATGATTACACATAAACTTCACAAAAAATAGATAAATAAGACAAAAAAATCTTACCGGTGAAAATGGTACTGATTTTTCTCGTTGTTCATATTCTTGTTTAGATGCCATATGTCCTTGAATTATTTTCATTCGAATTTCCGTCTAAATTTTACAAAATTTATCTTTTAGAAATATATTCAATCTATTCTAATAATAATTTCAGTTCCAATGTAATATCATCTTATAACAAAAAAAATTGATTATAATCTAGATGCAGTTTCAACAATTTTTTTTATTAATCAATGCAAGACAAAAACTGTGTTGTATTATGTTCAACACGATAACATAATCCTAACCAATCCAGACTATTATTTATTTCATACGATATAATTTATGTAGATTATTTATAAACGACGGAAATTCTTTATACTATTTCTCAGTATGTAACTTGACTGACCAGAATGCGATGAATATAATATAATGTAAATAAACATCCTACTCAACAGAACATTCTTATGTAAGAATGTATTATGTTTATACTTCTCATTAAATATGGAACTTAATATTATCGTATCAATTATTATAATTATATTTTCATAAAATAAACGGGTCTGTCTCATATTCAATTAATTTGTAAAACTATATCTTACGAGTTCTTTAAGTTGATTATGTAATTGATGTTTTTCTGTATTTAATTTTTCAATGGTATTTGCACGATTCGATGCACCAGCAGTACTACGATTCATTTCTAAATCGGCTATATGAGAATCTTTTTCACTTAATTCACCTAAGATTTTTTCTTGTCTAAAAAAACAGAAAAGAAGGATAAAAATATATTTGATAATAATAATAAAGACAACATACTGTGAAATAAAAGCATCATCAAGATGTTTTATCTGTTCTTCAAGTCTTTGTTCATATTGACGTTTACGTTCATTCAATTCAATTTGTAATTGTGAAGTTATCTGAGTTTGTTCATTATTTTCAGTACGTAAATGTTCAATTTCATTCTGAAGTGTTTTTATCTAAATAAAAATCTCGGTAAAAATATTTTTGTTAAAATATGGCAAATATTTCAAACCTGTTTTTCTAAATTTTCAACTTTTCGTTTTTGTTGTGTCATTGCATATTCTCTTTCAGTTGTTATTTGTAAACTTTCTCGTACAGCTTGTTCAAGTTCTTCAATACGTTGTTGTTTTTTATTTATTGCTAATTCAAATTGTTGTTGTTGTTCTTGTTCATTTGAATCATTTGTAATTGTTAATGGTGAAGATTTTTGTTGTTCAAGTTCTTGTTGCATCCATTCTATTTCTCGTTTCATTTCTGTACGTTCAAGTTCATAACATGATAAACGATCTTGTAATGTACGATTTTCATATTCTAATTTACTTGTATCACTACCTGAATCAGTTTTTATTTTCTTAAAATTTGTTATCTGTTGTTCAAGACTTTGAATATGTGTTTCACGACGTTGTAATAATGATTTTGCATTATTAATTTGTTCTTTTAATTCAATAATATGATTCTAAAGAAAATAGATTTATTCATATGATAAATAGTTATTAATATAAATAGAAAAAGATCTGTGCTTTGATTATATTAGAATAGTCATTAAGAAAGGATTTTATTCTATTCAAAAGAAATACGAAGATTTAGATGAATTATGAGGATTTGAGATTTTTTGATATACTGTAAGCTATATAGTTTTGTTTTCGGAAGTTTTTTCTTTGTTGTATAAGTTCATCGTTATTATAAATAGGAACAGCCATGTTGTCTTTAACCTTTTCAAGATATACTACAATATTATAGATGATTATCTTGAAATGTCAAGGATAACAAATGCAAGATCGTATTTTGTAGGAGAGTAAATAATAAATAAATATATAATTGTTTCATAACTATTAATGGAATTAGTGTAAGTCACTTATCTTAAAATAATTTAATAAGAATACTATTCTTTTATATGAATGAAGGCGACTGAATAATATCATGTATTAAATTCTAATTAATACTATCTGAATTAATAAAATTTAAATTGTATACATTAATTATTCATTTAAATAAATTTGTTTAACAAAATAAGTTTCTCATTAATGCTAAATGAGATGAAAAGAATTGATTATTAATCCTTTTATTTATTCTCTCAAAATATTAAGTAGTGTAACCTAGAAGGTATTCATAGACAGGAAAGGAAAGCTTATAATCCGATCAACATTAAGATCCTATTTAGTCTAAAAAAAACAATCTGACCTTGAAAAATAATTCTCTTTTTTCTTTTACTCTGATAAAATAAGAGTTTATAGGTTATATTTAAAAATCTATAATATAATTACTTGTCCTTCATAATAATCTTTTTCTTTTTGTTCAAGTTTTAATCGTGTTTCATTTAAAGTTTTTTGTAGTTGTTCAATTTCTTCTTGATGTTCAATATCTAATGTATGTTTTTGTTCTCGTAATTTTTCAATTAAACGTTCTTTTTCAGCAATTGTTGCTTCAAGATTCGTAACAATCGTATTATTCGTAACTGATGTTTGTTGTTGCATATTCATTGATGCAGCGGTTGTTGCTGCAGCTGTTAATTTAGCTCGTGCTAATGTTATTTGTGTTGATTTATCACGTATTTGTTCTTCGAGATTTTCAATTTTTCTATTAAGTACATTAATTTTTCTATCACGAATATCTAATTGTTGTTTTGATTCTTGTAAATCACATTCACGTTGTTGTCTTTCAATACGTGTTGATTGAATTTTAGAATTTTTCTTTTCAATTATTGAATCTTTTTCTTTAAGTCTTGTACGAAGATCATTTATCTGAAAAAAAAAGAATATTTCAAATCAAAAAAAACAAAAATTCGTTCATATTTAAACTATACCTCTGATTGTATCATATTAACTTGTTGATCTTTAATTAATATTGATTCTTTAAGTATACTAATATAATGTTGTAAATCTTTTTCTTTACTTTCATAAGTATCAACTTTAGCTTTAAGTGTAACACATTCATTATCTTTTACATGTAAATCATTAATACGTTGTTCTAATTTATCTTTTGTATCCTGATATTGTTTTTGTAAAATTGCATTGGTATCAATGGACGGTTGTTGTTGTTGTTGTTGTTGTTGTTCTGGAATGGAATATGTTGATGGAACTGGTGTTAATTCATAACGTTGATTATTATGACGAGATTTTTCGAGTTCATCACGCATTTGTTTTAATTGATGTTCGAGAGTTTGTATATGTGTATCCTTAGAAAAAAAAGGAATTTATTTATATAAAGATTAAGAAGACAATTCATACTTGTTTAGTACGTTTTTGATGTTCATTAATTAATAATTGATATCTACATGATTCATCTTTTCTTAAAGCACGTTCTTTTTTTAATTCTGGGCTCCAAAATGTTTTAATACTTTTCATTGTTGCATTTAATTGTTCTTTTGTTACTTTTAGTTCATGTACTATTTGTTGAACATATGAATTATTTTGATCATAATCATAATAATTCATTTGATTATGAAGATAATTATCTGATGGATAAAATGATGAGTTTGCTGTTGATGAACGATTCATATATTCATGATTTATTTGACGACTTAAGATCTCTGCACTTCCATGACGTTGATGATTTTGTCGATTTAATGATCGACGAGATTGATGTTGACCAGATGAATATTTATCTTCTTCAGAATAATAAATACTTTCACCTGCTGATTGAGATACTGTACGTTTTGATGGTAAAGATCCAACCGATGGTGGTACTATTACTGGCGGAGGTGGTGGAGGCGGAGGCGGAGGTGGCGGTGGTGCAGGTGCTTTTTTTTGCACTGGTAAAGAAACTGGAGGTATAAATTCATCTTCAGGTTCATTTTTTAAAGGTTCATGTGCAATTGGAGTCTATTGAAATAAAAGAATTAAATCTTTATAAATTTAAATTCCAATAAAAAACCTGTTGTGAATGACTTGATGTTGAAGATTTTGTTGATGATGATGAACTACTTGATGGAAATGATCGACATTGAATAAATGTTGTTGTAGTTAATTTTGGTTCATTTTGTTGATTAGGTATTGCAGGTGTTGGTGAATCTGATAATGGATTATCCAATAAAAGTAATGGAGTTGAACTAAGATCACCTTGAATAAAAATAAAATAAAATAAAAAAATTTTTTTGAAAAAAAATAATATTTACCAAAACTATTGGAAGTACAAACAGGTAATAATGTATTATTATTATTTTCAATTCGAATAATACTTGATATTGAACTATTTGAAATAGATGGAATGACAATTGAATCTTTTCTAACCAATATTTCTGTTGTTGGTATTATTGGATTGTCAACAACAAGTGGAATATTATTTATTTGATGATGATGATTATTATTATTATTATCATTTACATTAAGATCTGTATCATCATATTCCGATGATAAATTGGTTAGAAGTGTTTCCATTATAACCTCATGTTTTTCTTAGAATTTTTCAAAATGATTAAGAAATCTAAGCTAATAGAATTAACTACTATTTCCGTTAGCAACGATAGCTAAAAAGAAATAAAAACGATTATTATGTTGTGTTCTGTTTGCTGTCTGATCGATTCAGCGGTTTTGTCTTAACCAATAAGAAATCGAATACTTAAATGCATTGATGAATTAAATAAAAAAATAGAAAAAATGTTATCATAATGGAGGCGTGACATTGACAATAACATCATTAATGAATTCTTATAGTTGCACAAATATTTTTTTTCATCATCTAAAATCAAGATCGCGTGCTTCTTTTGCTTTCTTATAAAGTAAATATAGTCGATCAATTCTTTCAATTACTAACGAATCCTGTCAACTGTTTGTTCGTTTTCTTTTTCTTCTTTCTTTTTTGTATTTCATCGCAACAATTTAAATCTAAGTAAATAAAATCTATTCTATGGATAAATACGAAAAAATTAAAAAAATTGGTGAAGGATCCTACGGTATTTAATCTAAAAATTTTCTAATTATCAAATATTTTTGTCTTTCAATTTAGGTCAAGTTTTTAAATGTCGTGATAAAGACACAGGTGAAATTGTGGCAATAAAAAAATTCATCGAATCTGATGATGATCCAGCTATTAAACGTATTGCTATGCGAGAAATTCGAATGTTAAAAGTAATGAAAATTAATTTTGAATAATAATTAAAACCTGTTTTCGTTATTAGCATTTAAAACATGAAAATCTGGTGAATCTCATTGAAGTATTTAAAACAAAACGAAAACATAAACTTCATTTGGTATTTGAATATTGCGATCGAACTGTTCTTGACGAACTTGAATCACATCGAAATGGGTATAAAAGAAAATTAAATCGAATTTTATACTTTTATTTATATTTATTTAGCGTACCGGAAATGATGATTAAAAGAATTACTTATCAAGTATTGAATGCCGTGGATTTTTGTCATCGACATAATGTAAGAAAGATCATCTTTAGTCTTTAATCAAAAATTTTCTTTTTTTGTTCTTCTAGTGTATTCATCGTGGTAAGATTGATTAGGATATATATTTTAATTGATTTTCTTTCTCTTTTTTTTTTTTTTGATGTGAAACCGGAAAATATTTTGATAACAAAACAAAATGTTATTAAATTATGTGATTTTGGTTTTGCAAGATTAATGAGTAAGTAAAAGATCTTTAATCGAAAAATAAATAAGCGAAATTTTTCAATATAGCACAACAACTTGAAATGACGGATTATGTTGGTAAGTAGTTTTAATTAGAAACAAAATTGATTTATAGAATTTAATTTAATTTAATTAGCAACGAGATGGTATCGAGCACCAGAATTACTTGTTGGTGATCGTCAATATGGTACTGCTGTTGATGTATGGGCAGTTGGTTGTGTTTTTTGTGAATTGTATTCGGGTGTACCGTAAGTATCTATTTATTATCTTATTTAATATTTAGAATTTATGATATAGAATATGGCCTGGTAAATCAGATGTTGATCAATTATATTTGATTCGAAAAACATTGGGTAAAAAATAAGATGTTTAACAGTATGATAAATTTAATATATATATATTTTATTTCTAAGGCAATCTTATTGATAAACACGTAACTATATTAAAAAGTAATCCACATTATAGAAATGTGCACATACCTGAACCTGATACAATTGAACCATTAGAACAAAAGTTTCCATATGTTTCTGAACGAAGTCTTGATTTTATGAAGGTTTGTTTTATTTTTCAATTGATGATTTATATATTTATGTTTTATTCTTTAGAGTTGTTTAGTTATGGATCCGGAAAAACGTTTTACATGTGCTCACCTTTTACAACATCAATATTTTGATGGTTTTAATAGTGAGTATGAACGGGAAAAAAAAGAACAAATAAAACAAATACAACGTGAACAACAAAAACTAATATTACAACAACAACAACAGCAGCAACAACAACTACAACAACAACAACAGCAACAGGCTAAGACTCAAAATAGTGTTTATGTATCTGCTACAGGACCAAATAAACAATCAAATCAAGGCGTAAGTCTTCTATTTATCTATTTTTAACAAAACATTTTTTGTATATTAATTTTTAGAAAACTGTTTCAAGTTTGCCGGGTATCACAGGTACACCATTTTCAAATGCACATTCAACATCGACTAATCAAGCTGATTATCCAAGACCAAGTCGTCTAGAAAATTATATGGAGCCTGATTCACGTGTTAGTAATGTACCAAAACAAAGATTTGGTAATACTCAATATCAAAATAATACAACAAATGAATCAGATTTACCTGTAAAACCTCCACAACAATCCAAACGTAATACAACAACAAATGAATCAGATCCACCCATAAAACCATCACCACAATCAAAACGTAATACATATGGAGATAATTATACACATTTTCCAAATATTTAAATAATAAATATTTCATAAAAATATTAAGGCCTTATATTATTATCATAATTATTATTATTATTATTGATGTTGTTGTTGTTCTTATTTTGTTGTCATGATAATATGCCCATGATTAAATTTATTTTTTTCTCTCTCGCGTGCGTTTTCTTTCTCATGTATAGTCTGTATTTTTTTTCTTGCTTATTACCGCACAAATTCCCACTATGTATACCGCCTATATATTTTATTTAAAACAAGACATCAAAAGAATGAATTTGATTTATAAGTTCGTATTTTCAAGCAATCAATATATAATATATTTCATCCCTACAGCTTTCAAAGATGCACTGTAGAAAGCTCTACAAAAACTGATGAACCATATTTCTCATGCTTTTTTTTGTTTTATTTAAAATGGAACGCTACATTTCATAATATATTAGCATCAAAATGACTCTTCAGAAGATCTTTTCAAATTGTAACAGAAATTTGTTTCAACAGTATTTTTTATAGAGCTTTTCATGGTATATCTTGTAAAAACATTTCAAGTGCTTATTATTTTTACGCGTTAATTTTAAAAAAATTCTTACAAAACATTTTGGAACGTTTGGTAACAGTCTTATACAAATCTAGGTTATAGAACACCTGGCATATAGCTAAAAATATCGCGAATATTATGTCAGTATTACTATGATAGAAAATTTTGAGAGAGCATCTGTTCAATATCGCAAATGGAATATTTCATTACGAATATGTTAAATATCGTGCTCTTATAATAAAAGTAAATAACTACGCTATAAAACAAATGTACATAACATTGTTTGCATATATATTTAGAAGCAAAAGTGAGGTTTCATTCTAGAATGAAATATTAATTTGTTTTTGCTTGTTCTGTTATTGACAATTGTTTTTTTCTTCTTTCCACAACAATTGGCTATAATAATATTTATTTATGAAAGTACATTAAATATATTTTCTTGTGAAACAAATTACGTAACATAGATGAATGTTTTTTTTTGACACTAACCAAACGAAGTTTAGTGAACTGATCTCTTGATAAATTTTAAGGATGATTTTTTCAAATATTAGATTCTATATAACTCATACGCAGGGGTGGCGTGTAACGAAATTTTTTGAATTTTTGAGGCGTGTAGCGTTATCTTTGGTAAAAAACCTAAGAAGATTTGTCGCTTTTCTTGAGCAAAAAATAGAAATTTTCGAAGATTGGGGGAGGGGGGTGTTACACCCCTCGGTCGCGCCACCCCTGCTCATACGTGAAGAAAACAATAATTTGAAGTCACATGCAGTTTGCAATTATTTAATGTATATTATATTTAAAAAAACAGTCTTTTCATCGGAAGTAATGTTTTAAACTTAGTTATTCATTCATTAATCAAACTATCTATATATGCTATAAGGAAATTGTATAAAGAAGTGATACATACAATAAAATCATCGAAAAAATAGTACTTACAGGTCATCAGTAAATAAGTTATCTTTTTGTTTATCATATCTTTCTATATATCAATTCATATAACCATGATAGACATCTATCTACTGTTTTAAGATTAGCTCTTCTTTCGTCCTCATTAACTTTGACTCAAAGATTGAATAATTACGATTTATTATGTCTCATTTACAATAAATGAATATGCATTAAATTGAGAAGCATAAGAGTAGTATCAAGTTTTCGTCAGTATAAATCACAGAAACAATAAAGAAAAAAAAACAGAATCGTGTGTTGTTCTAGGAGACTAGCGAGTTTTAGTTTAGTTACTTTGTATAATAATCAATATTTTTTATTTAGGAAAGTAATGTTTTTTTTGGTTACATGAGAATAGTTTATTCTGAAATAGGCAAAGTTTTTTCTTTTTTTTGTTCGTCATCTTTTCGTTTGTAAGTAACTCGAGCACAAGCTACCATGATAATACCAATAGTCATCATTAAAAGTACGAGTAAATTCATTAACATAGCTCTATTTGGTGCGATAGCAAGAAAAATAAGTGAGACAACATTGAAAAGTTGAACAAATATGGAAGCAGTTAAAGATTCTGGTAATGGATGCATCATTTCAGCAAGACATTCGTAAATAAGTGGTGAACCAGCTCCATTAAAAAATCCATTGATTGACAAAATAATAACAATAGAAATAACACTTGATGGTAACGGTGGATGATCTGGCCAAAACATAGTACGAATACTGAGTTGAAATAGTAAGCAGGATATAAACGAAAACGTAAGAGAAATAAGCATTAATGATTTAAGAGATCGTTGAAATCGAGGTAAATCAGCTATAAAACCCATTGCTAAACCACCAACAATACCAGCTATTGATTGACCAAAACCAAACCAACCTAAAAAAAACAATGAATGTATTTATTAAAAATTGAGCTAATATCCTTTACCAGCATCGTTTTCTGAATAACCTAATGGTTTAAGAATAGTTGCAAATAATCCACCCCAAGCAGATAATGTGCCACCCATAAGAGCACCAGATAAAATTAATAGAACACAGGATATATCTTTACAGCAATGTAGAATATCATGTAGAAATCTTTTTAATGTTTCTGTTAATGATTCGATTCTGAAACGTTCTGCAGAACGTATATGAGCTGCAGCAGATGGAGGCGATGGTGGTTCAGCTGGATAATAAGCGAAAGTAAAAATACACGCAAGAAGAGCTTGTCCTGCATGTAAATATAAAAGATGTGGAACACGCCAAGGTTCAGATACTAAATGTGGTGATATTAGAAATGAAACAGCTCCACCAAAACTTGTACTAAGTACATTTATTGTCGTAGCACGTGTTCGTTCATGAGGAGCAAACCAAAGACATGACAATTGAGATACAAGTGCCATACCAATTGGACCTGTAGCTGCAATAAGTATTTGACCAATATGAAGAAATGGAACAGCAAGATCATGAAAATGTGGATCTGTTGATGACATTACTATAGAAGGAATAAGACGAATAACTGTAGCTATTAATGATACAATAGCAAAGATTAATACACATTTACGAAGACCATGATGAGTATTTAATATTAAATATGTTAATGGAAGTGTTGGTAAAAATATAATTGGACCCCAATTAAGTAAAAGATCAACAGTTGCTTCACTTACATGATAAAATGATTCAGTTGAACTAGCAATTGGTGAAAATGTTAACCAGAACATACATTGATTGAACGATAAGAAACAAAAAACAAATAAAACCCAAAATCGTTGTGGATATACACGAAAGAGACCATTTTCATGAATTCGATCTAATTCGGATGACGGTGACTCCATAATACGCTCGTTAAATCTGAATAAACATAACTGATTCTATTATATATATACCTCTTGATACTCTACGGTGCAATCAATGATAACAAGAGAAAAAGATGAAAAAAAGAATAGCACGTGGCTTGCCATGTGACTGGTATATTATTTTGAAAAGTAATAGTCATTTTACTAAATTCTTTTCTTATTTTATAGTTATTGAAATAAATAAATATTATATTATACGAAAAATATATCAAACATGATATTTTGAATATGTAAATTAAATAATAACCTACTCTTGTTATTTAACTTTGAGATATTAAACAGAAATTCAAGATCAGTATCATCACTGTGCTTTATAAAATTTTGTCTTTGACAGAGGTCACTCGTTTACACAACTATTGTTTTTGTAATGAATCACTTGTGTTATTCTATACCAATTAGATTTATTCTTTCTTGTTGTTGACTATATCATCAACGCAGATGTAGATTTCTTCCTCTAATCTTTGGTTTTTTACAATTTTACAATAGATATCCTACTAAATTCATTATATTATATTAAACAAATTAGATCCATATGTTTTCTATTTCATTATTTAAACATAATAAGCAATAAAAAGTCGACATTCAACTATTTTTTCTTTTAGATTGACAATGAATCTCCAACAAGTTAACTTAGATCGAGTACCAGTAAGAAAAGAAAACACTAGAATTTAAATAAATTAACTTTCATAAATATTCTTAGGCATATTGTGCACGTGTCAATGTCAATGGTATTCAACGAACGAAAGAAGATTATATTCGTCATCAAATCGATAATGTATTTACATCAAATACATTCGAATCATTACTCGTTAATGTTGAACAATTACGTAAAAAACTTTTACAACTTGGATGTTTTCGTGAAGTTATGGTTGTTATTGATTCAGCTAAAGGTTAGATGAATTTTTTACGTCGATATCAAAATTTAAAAATCTATTGTAGATGCAAAAGCAGAGAATAGTTATGATATAACATATGTTACTGAAGAACATCGACCAATATCTGGTGGAATCAATACAGCTGTTGGACAAAATGAAGGTTCACTGGTACGAGACATACATAGTTTATTTCATTCATGAATAAAAAAATTCGATAATTTTAGTGTACAAATTTTTCTTTACCAAATCTATTTGGTCGTGGAGAAAAATTTGGTGTTGATTATTCGTATAGTAATCGTGGCAATACAGAAGGACGAGTCTTTTATAATATGCCAACAAAACTCGATCCAAATAAACAGTAATATAAATTGCTTTTCTTTTTGTTCATTCTATATAAAATCTATATTATTTAGATTTTCTATGTCATTATTTCGAAGTTATTTTGATAATACATGGAGTTCATTTAAACAAGATGATCATGGAATCGATATAACCTATAATGTATGAACAAAAATGAATTCATTTATTTTACTAAGTATTATTTTTTTTTCTATTAAAGCTTCCACTTGGTATTGTTCCCAATGCTGTTCATAGTTTTACTTGGGAAGGTGTTTGGCGTTCAGTTTTAGCTGGCAGTCCAACAACATCTGTTGATATACGAAAAGATGCTGGTCATACATTGAAATCATCATTAAAAGTTTGTTCTTTTGTATGTAAGATATTTTTAAAAATTTTGTTTAGTATACAGCAACAATTGATAATCGAGATCATCCAGTAATAGCACAACGTGGATCTTATTCTCAAAGTTCAATTGAATTAGCTGGTCTTGGTGGTGATAGTCAATTTGTAAAATGGACAACACAACATCAAGTTAATGTGCCATTACCATTAAAATCAGTTGTTCAATGGTGTTTATCTGCTGGTGCTATTTGGCCTCTTTTACAAGGAAGAAATCAAACAATTAAAATAAACGATCGATTTTTCCTTGGTGGACCATTAAATGTTCGAGGTTTTGATTATCATGGTGCTGGACCACACAGTGAAGGTTAGATTAATAATTTATGATTATCAAAAGAAATATTAAAAATCGGTTTCTGTTATTTAAGGAGCAGCTTTAGGTGGCGACTGTTATTGGGCAACAGGTCTTCATCTTTATACACCTCTTCCTTTTCTTTATCATCGTGAAAATTTAATGTCTTACGTTCGTCTTCATTATTTTCTTAATGCTGGAAATGTATTTAATATACAAAATATTAGTAAGTATTTTTATATTCAGAAATAAAAACTAAGCCATTTGTGATTGAATAGATTCAGCACAATCATTGTTTTCTCAAATAAGTAATGCAACTCGATTATCATGTGGTTTTGGTGTTGTTTTGAATTTAATGAATGTTGCTCGACTTGAACTTAATTATACACTTCCATTATGGACACAAATACATGATCGGTTAGTCTATGATATATATATATATTATCTGAATTTGTTTTTTTTTGTCTTCTAGAGTGATCAAAGGTTTTCAATTTGGTGTGGGATTTACATTCATTTAACTTTCGTAGCTAATAACCTTTATTTGTTTTTCTTTTCAACGATATGTAGTATTTTTTTCATACATATAGGAAGATTTTGTAACAAAGATTCTGTTGAGGTTTTTTTTGCTTGAGAAAATGTACTTGGTATAACTAACTGATCTCATATTAGATTTAATTTATAACAGTTTTATTGAAATTTTAGATATAGAATATTGATGAAAAGAGAGTCATCTTTTTCCTTTTGTTTCATTTAAAGTGTTCGTTAGACATCAATGATATAATTGAAAGCACTTGAAAATATGTATTCTATTGAATAAAAATAAAACAAGAAAAGATTTTAATTTTCCACTAGAATTTTATCAAAAGAAGATCTTCTCATTTTTTAGATGATTTTTCTCATTATTGATAATTAGAAAAAAATAATGGTTCGATTTCTATGATTCATTTTTACAACGATATTTATTACACCATTTTAGATTATTATGGATATACGTCATTTATAAATATGTTCTTAATTATATATATTATCAATAATTGATCACATCTTACTTCCTAGAATTGAATAAAATCATATTTATCCAATGGTATATATATATAATAAACGATTATTTATCTTTCATATTTATTTTCTTTATTGCTAAGGCAAAAAACTTAATTCAAATAGCGATAATAGGTGCTCAAATTATTGGACGAGCATTTACTCGAGCATTACGTCAAGAACTTCAATGTAAGAAGAAAAACTAAATAGACAAAAATTCTATTTTTAACTATACAAAAAAACAATAACACATTTTTAGATACAAAAACAGCAACAGAATCTAATAAAACATCAGCAAAAACCGTTCAAGCAGATCGTATTACAGGTATGAGTCTACAGGTAAATAAATGTTTTTTTTTCTTCTCCATATAATTGAAATATTATTTGTAATTTAGGAAGCTAAACAGATTCTCAATATAAATGATACTGATTTGCATGATCCTGAAAAATTACAAAAAAATTACGAACATTTATTTAATTTAAATGATAAAACAAAAGGAGGTTCATTTTATATACAATCGAAAATTTACCGAGCAAAAGAACGTCTAGATAAAGAACTTAAAACCTCATCTTCCTCAACTAAAACTGATTCAACAGAAAATCCAAATGATACAAAACCTAGTTAATTTTTATTAATAATCTTTTCCTTTCTCTCTCGTTTTAATTACATATTCAATGATGTATTAAAATCCTTTCTTTGTTTGTTTTTTTTAAATAATTAGTTTTAGATAAAAATGAATGATAATTATCAATATTGGATGATACTTCAAGAGAAGAGTGATCTTTTTCATACACGATCAGCATCTGTTCGTTGTGATCGTCGACAACATCTATTAATTTTCGATTATTTAGTTGATAAAAATACATCGACATCTTCAGCTGCTTCAACACTTAGTCTAACTGATAATTCAAGTGTAATAAGTGGACAATCATCAAAAACTGTTGATAGAAATACAACTAGTAAAGAATTTGTATTCAATAAAAACTTCTCTTAATTAATTTTTAGTTTATCTTGAACGTATTCAATATATACAACGAGGTGATGGTACGAATACTGGACGTTCAGCACGTAATTATCATCAACTTAATCAAAATGGTCGTCATCGTCCTAATCAAAAACGATTAGAAATTTTCTATTGGGCTGATGAACCTCGTTCGGAATATCTTTATAAAAGTGTTTCTTTTCAAATAAAGAAACTCGGTAAAAAAAATAAAAACTCTTGTTTTGCACATTCTAATAAATTCTTGTAGAAAATGATTTTAATGCATGGGTTGAAGCTCTCTATGCAGCTATTGATGAAGCAAAAAATCTCAATGAAGCAGCTAAACGAAATCGGTAGGATATATATTTAATTTATATGAGATTTTTTTTTTTTTTGATTAGATGGATTTTACGTGAGTATGAGAAAATACGAGGACTAACTGGTTTAACACTTGATTCACTGAATGGATGGTTAAATTCTCATATTGGTCTTATTGGTGAAAAAGCTAATGTTGCAAATTTTATTAAACAAACTGATTTATCTTCTCAATCAAATGAAATAACTGATGCAGTATTTAAAGCAACATATCAACATTTTGTTAATAAACAACAAGAAGTAGAAATGAATTATTCGAAATAAATAAATGAATTTTTTTTAATTTAGATTCTTACTAAAACTCTCATGTCTGATCTAATAGGAGAAAAGTAATACATACATATATGTCTATATAAACTAATATAAGTATATTTATTTAGTCGAATTTCAATTGAAAAATTTGCAGCACGTGTTACTAATAATGAACTTCAATTAGTACCTTCGGAAATCTCTAATATTCGTCAATCATTAGACTTACCAACAGGTCAAACAGAAATTAGTTTTAAAAAAGTAATTAAATCTCGAATAATAATTGAAATTCTATATTTTATTTAGATGATTAGTTATTTATGGTCCGATGCTAATTCGGCATTTGATCCATTAACTCGTCGACAATGTACTGATGATATGGACCAACGATTAAATCATTATTGGATATCATCAAGTCATAATACGTAATTAGCATTTATTTAATTCTTTTCATTTCTTGTTCTTCTTTCATAATAGATATTTAGCTAAAACTCAATTATTTAATCCAGCTTCAGTTCATTGTTATATTCAAGCATTATTAAAAGGATGTCGATGTATTGAAAGTAATAATAAAATAACATTTTTTTTCTATTATTCTTTATTTACAAATAAAATCTTTTTAGTTGATGTTATTGATAATCGAACTACTTTGGAACCAGAAATAACACATATAAGAACTCCGATTAAACCAATACCATTACGTGATGTTCTAGAAGCTATTCAAGATTATGCATTTGTTACTAGCGAGTAATGATTTTGATAAATTCTGTATTTTATTTATTCAATCATTTCTAGATATCCAATTATAATATCTATTGAAAATCATTGTTCACCTGAACAACGTTTTAAAATGGCTCAAATGTTTATTGAAATATTTGGTGGTAAGTATTTTTTGTTTTGCCTAATTGAAGAAAATATGTAAATAAAATAAAAACAATATCTATCATTGAGTAGAAAATCTCATTCAAGCACCTCTCTCACCAAATGAAACTGAACTTCCTTCTCCTAATAAATTAAAAAGAAAAATTATCTTAAAGGTAGTGCTGCTCACTCATCATTTAAACTGCTTTTAAGATTAATAGATCGTTTATTTTTTCTTTGAAATAAAAATAAATATATGTTATTTCATTCAATAGGATTCAAAAATTAGTAATGCATTAATGTTAACACAACCAAGTGTTGATGCCGATGAACTGTCAAGTCTTCCATCATTATCTGTTCAAGGACATGTACAAATCTATAGTTTTGCTAACAAAGTAAGTTTTATTACTTAGAATGAATGCATATGAATTTATTCTCGTGATTATTATTGAAGAGTAATATACATTCTTACATATTTCGGAAAGAAAAAACAAGTTATATAACTTGCCAGCCAGACATATCTAGTCAGATTATTCTATAAATTTCATAGTTATAAAAATATTTAACATAATCTAAAAGAAGATTTGTAGAGTTAAAAAAGACATGAATTACTTCATCAAGGTTTTATACGTTCTTTAAGCATTACTATATTGACATGATAATCCTATTTTATTATTTATCTTACGTCACAATTAACAAAAGAAAAGAAACCTTGTAGAATTACAAAGTCTATGTTTTTTTACACCTTGACGAAATGTTTGTCTGACGTAAACAATGGAGTAAACTCGCTTTTCATTCGTTGCTCATTTTCTGATTAATGCATTTAAATAGAAATAACTCAATGATCATATTCAAAGCTAATTTTATTCTAATGTGAATTAAATATATTCTAATGAGTTGTCACTCAGTAATGCATGATCATGCTAAAAATCAGCCTTCGATATTCATAAATAAAATATTCTAATTCCGAATAGAGAAAAACTCATATAAGAAAATCTAAATCGATCTAACCAGTCGTTTATCGCTATTTATTACAATTCTGATGTATTTTCATATTATATTTTTTAGGGTTGGCTTGATTATAATTATACAATTACAAATGGTGATGTATACTTTGCTAAAGATGATGAAGCACAAAAAAATCGAAAAACAACTGATGATCAAAGTGATGAAGACACTGATAAAGTTAATCATTTAAATTTTGTTTTCTTATTTATATGATTTTGTTTTTATATATAGAACGATCTTTCAAATAATGATTTAACACAAATTTGGTATCATGGAGCTCTATCACATGAGGAGGCTCGACGTCTCCTTTTATCCAATGCTGGTTATGAAGTTGGAGCTTTTTTAATACGAAGAAGTTTAAATAAAAAAAAATATTGTATTTCATTTCTGTAATAGAAAAATTTCTTTCTCCTTAAGATTTATTTGACAAAAAATATTTTCATTTTAGTGCACCAAATTGTGTTGTTAAAAGTATTGAAATAAATGAAAGACAGCATGATGGAAAAACTGTTTATGCATTAACAAATAAACAATTTAAATCAATACCAGATCTTATTGCTCATTATCGAACATATGATTTTGCTGAAGTTGTTCAAAATTCGAAAGAAAAAGTATCATTTCGATTAGGTAAACCATTACCAAGAGAAAAATGGCGTCAAGAACTTTTACGAAAATCTTGGTATCAACCAGAATTAACACGAGAACAAACTGAACAATTATTAAAACATGTAAATTAGCAAAATTTTATTTTATTAAAATTTCGTCTTCTTTTTTTGTGTTTTAAAGATTGGTGAAGAAATGACATTTCTTATTCGAGAATCATCACATCGTTATTTACAAGATTATACATTATCTGTTTATACAAGTGGTACAATACGTCATTCACCTATTTATCGTGAAGGTTCAGATTTCATGTTAATGTCAAAAACATTTACAAGTTTAGTTGAAATGGTTCATTATTATTCTCATAAGCCAATTTTCAATAATTTAACTTTACAAAATCCTGCTAGACCATATTCAATATTGAAATCTGAGCGACGTCAACAATCAACACAAGAAAATAATCAAACTATGGTTTTTAAACCATTAAATTCAACTATTTCATTGCAAGCTGATAAAATTCGAACAGGTAAATATTGACATATATGTATTTTTTTTTGTTCTATTAAATTTGTTTATTAAAAAATTATTTAGGTCGTATTGATAGAAATCTTGATGAGGACGAATCTGTTCAAGTTGAATTATATACTTGTGAAGATAATACAAAAGAATTTGAAGGTTATTTAATAAAATTTAAAACATGGGATGATTGGCTATCATTTATAATAAGAAGAACTTCAGCATTATCAGTAGTAACAAACTATCGACAACCCGATGAAATTGCAAATAAAACGCCACCTCTAGGAATAAATAATCCAAAACTTCCAGCATCGTCAAAATCAGTTGAATATTCAAAATTCTATCTGGCAGAATTTAATAAATTAATTATTTATTGTCAAGGAGTTAAATTAAAAGAACTTAATATTAGTAAATCAGAAGATCTTTTAGGTAATCATATCCTTAATATTATAACAAGAAGATTTGTGCTTTTCCCCTACTAATCAGCTTACTCTTAAAAGAAGTTTAAGATGGTTATTGGATTTTTGTATTTAAAACTTAATATCTAGTTCAAAAGATTGATATACTTATAGTTCAGTGTATAAATCATTTTCATCAAAACTAAGGAGACAGTTTTGGAAATACCCACGAAAAAATATTAAATTTTGCTTTATTTTTTTAAGACAAAATCAAATCATGTAAAGAAATGATATCACTTAATTTCGTCAAAGCAACAGCATTTTGGTCAGATATTCGATCAATGATATTGTATATTTTATTAAATAAATAAAAAAAACAGCAAAAATCTGAATTTTCATTGTATAGATTTAATCAAAATCATTTTACTCGTGTATATCCGGATTTTTCAAGAAGATCATGGAATTCACATAACTTTGAACCAATTCCACATTGGTCAGCTGGTTGTCAAATGGTAGCACTCAATTTTCAAATGCCTGGTTTCTATGAATTTCAATCATATTCTATTTATTTTTATCAAATATTATTTTTAGATCGTCAAATGCATTATAATGCTGGAAGATTTGCAGCTAATGGAGGGTAAGAATTTATTTCTTATTAAGAACAAAAAAGGTTCATTCTAAAATTTTCTTTTTATATTTAGTTCTGGTTATATTCTTATGCCAAAATATATACGTTTATTTAATAAATATATGCCTGAAATTGATACATTATCAATGTTAATAAAAATTCGTGTTGTAGCTGTTCGACATTTACGTACAGATCAAGCAAAAAGTATTATAAAAGTACAAATTAAAATCACAATAATTAGTAAAAAGAAATCAGCTGAAAATCAAATTTGTTCAAGTAAATTTTTTATTTTTTTATAATATATTTTAATTTTTTTCAAAAAACAGCAACAATTAATGGCCCATGTGGTATCTGGGATTCGAAACAATCAACATCTAAACATGATCAACTTCATGCCGATAATCGTCTTCAATCAGATAATAGTGAGGTTGATCTTTTATATTTTGAAGTATTAACTGATAATGAAGATTTTTGTGGACAATCAACTATTCCATTATCATCATTGAGAGCAGGTTCTTATTTTTATTATTATATAAATATAATCAGAGAAATTTTTTTTATTTTTTGATATTTTCTTTTATCTAGGCATTCGATCTTTACCACTGTATGATAAATTCAATGAACGTTTAGATATGAGCACTCTTCTTCTTGATATTAATTTTAAAGCTGGTATTATATTATTAATTATATTTTAATAATATACTGATATATCAAAATATTTTAGTGTAATCATTCGTCAAATCTAATGTAAAAGACCATACTGTTCCAATAAATGTTTGCTCGGACATTGAAAATAAAAGATTATAATCAACGTCTATGTCGTTATTAATTTTTTCTTTTTTTTTTTTTCGTTTATTTTTGTACACATGTCGTCATTATGTTTGCTTTCTCTCTGTCTGTCTCTCTCTCTCTCTTTCTCTCCCTTTACCTCTCACTTTACGTCTCCAGGAAAATAGCAAAGTGTAATTTGATTTTGTGCAAGTCAAAGAAGCACATCACGCACACCTGTATGATGGGAACAAAGTAGTACGAGGAGGAGAGAGACAGAGAGAAAACAACATGCAATATGATATTTCTTCTTCTTCTTCTTATTCACGTTCTTTCTTGTCTTCGACGGTTTCTCTTTCTAATTATGTTACATCGATGTTAATCTACTCTCTTTTTTTCATTAATATTGGACACCTTTTTTTTCTCGTATATGTATGTAGAAGTATTGTATCTTCTTTTTCTTTTTCTTCTTTTTTTTCTTTCTTTCTTTCGTTCTTTCTTTTCTAGTTGGATCTGTCAATTCGATGTTTCAAGGACAATGAGACAAGAACGAGTGTCAACATACTTCACTTTATCGTCTATTTCTTTTGTCGCATGCTTTGCAGTTGCTGAATTCTGTTGAAAGGTGTCATAGAGTAGTGTACTATTTTGCTATTCTAGCAGAAAGAGAAAAGAACAATGGAAGAGAATCTCGTTTTCTTCTATCGTTGTTTCATCCCATTAACAATCTTTCATCATCCCTAACGGCAGAACCACTCATACTACTTCTGTCGCGTTGATTTTATGTTGCACGCTAGTCGACATCGTTCGACGCGTGCCGCTATATGATCGGCAAGATAGGAAAAAAAACGAGAGAAAGAACAGAGAAAACGAAGGTTTGCACAGCCCCGGACGTCCGTGTCAGTTTGCATGAGTGTGCTTCTGAAACTGCGTTGGATACCTCCTTGCCTTTCCTTAGTTGATGTCGTATACGATAGGTTACCTCGTGTGCCAGTCTGCATGCAAGTATATTATGAGGACTAGAAAAGAAAGAAGAAGAAGAAAAAAAGAGGAATAAAAGGAAGAATAGAACGCTAAATAAAAGAACAGAGAAACGAACAAACGAACGAAAGAACGAAATATTTTAAATATACTATACGCCCTCTCATATATTCTATATGTGATTATGAAGAGCAGATGAGTTTGTGCGATCTCGTTTCTTTTCGCTTCGTATGTATTTAGTGGGTTGCCCCTTGTCTTTCTGTTGCTATATGCTTCATCGTGCAGTACTCGAGTAACTGGAAAAAAAAGAGAAGAAAAAAGGCAAAACATTGTACGATGCGATGCATCTATTCAATATAGAGAAAAAAGCGAAGAACGATTTTTTTTTGCTTCTCAATAGAAAAAACCGGGCCAAGGAAAGAGGGTGGTCGGGGGAACGAGAGAGAGAAAAAGAAAGAGAAAGAGAAACGGCAAAGCGCGTGCACTAATCACGTCCTTGAACGGCTCGCTTGTGCTCTCTCGATGCCACTGTAGGCGTTCGTGGGTTCCGGCTGCGCACAAAACGAGAATGAGAAGGAGAAGAAGATGATGAAGGAACTTTTCCCCTGTGTGCTCTCTGTCTCTCTATCTCTCTTTCTCAATTGAAGTCAATCATCAGCTGTATGTTCTAGAAAACGATTCTCTTTTTTGATTCAGTGTCGTCGTCTTTCTTCAAATCTAACGAGCTCTTCTTCGATGCAATCATTAACACCAAATGATGATGCACAACGGCCCATCTGGCGTCTTGTCATCGTGTGATTTACTTGTCGACATCACTGACGGCAGTAATAATTCGATGGTTAACCAACATCAGTCTGATTCTCATCAATATCATCATCCTCATTATCCTCATAATCACAGTGATTCGTCACGTTCATCATCCGTTTGCTCGTCGTCACTTTCACCAAAAACTTCATCTTCAACGACTCTTACTACTACAGTAATATCATCAGCAACTGTTCCTACAGGAACAGTTACAACTACTTTAACTGATGTCGATCCACAATTAGCTCAACATGTCGAGTATGAATTAGGTTTAACAAAAAAGAATGGTAGTGGTA